GCATGTGTTTATTCTGAAATAAATAACTGTAATATATTAGATTGTAATTTTTTAATAAGCCAGTCAGTCCTCAGCCCTTTTGCCTGTCCATGGGGTACATATGTACTACGGGGCTCATGGTTAGTAAGGTTGTTAAAAGAAAGTGTTCTACTTATTGCACCAGTCGCCACGGCCATGCAGACTGTGAGCAGAAGCAGCACCATATTAAGCTGGCTAACAAAGCCAAATCGGGATGTGCTGCAAACCTCACCACAGACAGATAAAGCACGAAAAAGTATCAAAAATTAGAAAAGTAATAAGTTCATAAAGCCTGTTCATGGAAAAATACAAGCTCCAGCTGGAGGAGAGACAAGGGATGATGGAAATTCAGGAAACAGAGAGTCAATGAAATAGGGCAATTTGGAAAGCAGAAACCCTAGGGAGCGATTTATGGGGTGAGACCGGATGGGTATGCAACGCGATATGACAGCTAACTATGCAGAGTTCAACCCTTAAAACCAAAGCGCCTCAACCTGTAGCCCGTGGCATCTGGTGAACAGACTGCAACTGTTTACTAAGCACCTACTGTGTGGTGGGGACTTAGCACATACTAATGTCATCCTCTAAAATCCTTGCAAGATGGGCAGTATGATCCCGGTACCCAGCAAGGAAACTGAAGCTCGGAGAGGTTAAGTAGTTTGCTGGGTCACAGAGCCAGAGAGCAGTAAATTGGAATTTAATCCCATAACCAAGCTGGTTCCCAATCTCATCTCTCTATTTTATACCTGGCCATACTCTGTTGGTAAAGACATGGGGGAGGGGATCTCACTGTCCAGGTCTGCCAGGAGCACTGGGCTGACCTCTCACTGTTTGATGCGAGAGTGCACAAGGACCCGAAGACAGACCTGAGTCCCAACCTCTGCACCAACTCTCCTAGCTGTGTGGCTTTAAGAAGGTCACTTTTTCTCTCTGTGCCAGTTACAAAATGAGGAAAATAATGTCATCCACACTGGAATCTGTGACAACTAAATGAGCACAATATTTTCTCTGAGGAATTGTCTCACTCATTCAATACATGGTACTGCTACTAGTTTTGAGAGTCAGCCTGGAAAATGCTGGTAGTTTCACTGTTTTGAATCTACTAACTCATCATGACCAGCCAATTCTACCTCTTGCATCTAGAACATGTATAACAGTAAGCTGGGCTTAGCAGGAAGATGACTGGAGCATCAGAAATGAATCACTGGACTGCAATGAATCGCTGAGTTGTGTTCAATGGGGTATAGCTTCCACTGGATTCATGAAACCTTCTCAAAGCTTTATTTTGCAATAAGTAACCATCTGTAGTCTAAGAATGTTTATTATTATTATTATTATTATTATTTTGTTGTATTAGAGATTAAACTGAAGGTCACATTGCACTACATTCTAGGCCTTTTTTTATTTTTTAATTTTGAGACAGTTTCTCATTAAATCACTAAATCTCCCAGGCCGGGCCCAAACTTGTGATCCTTCTGCTTCAGCCTACCAGAGTACTGAGATCAGAGGTGTGTACCAGCAAAACTGCCAGGCTAAGAAAATTTAGTTCTAAATGTAACAGGGAATGACAGTTCTGGAACTCATCTGTTTTGGTTATGTTTCTCATTGTTGAGACAAAACACTTGACACCCAAAGTTAAAGGAGGGAAGGTTTACTTAGCTCACAGTTTGTAGAGGTTTTAGTCCATAATTGGCTAACTCAGTTCATGGCAGGTAGAAGGTAGCAAAGCAACAAGCAACAGGCAACAACCACAGCTCTTTCTATCTCTTATAGTATATCTAGGTTACTTAAATTGAAGAGCACTCACACCCTTACTCCTAGTGCACTTGTGTCTAGCACTGTACCATGAATCAATCTCAGTGTCACACATTCTGGATTCTACCACTTCTGAAAAAGCCCCACCTATGACTGCATAAGGCTTTGGAGGAACATCTAGACACAAGCCATAACATGCTACCCCTGGCCCCTCAAAGATTCACATACTTTTCTTTATGTAAAAGGCATTTATTTTATCTCTAAGAGTTACTAACGTCTTAACAGTTTCGGCATTGCTGAGAAGCTTAAATCTAAAATCTCCTCTGAGATTTAAGGACAACTCTTAGCTATGAGCCCCTGTACAAACGAAAAGAAAGTTTAAGACTTTTAACATTTAATGGCATAAGATAGATATTTTTATTTTAGAAATTACAAACAGAAGAATGGCAAAAAGAGGGAATAAAGCAAGATCAAAAATCTAGTAGGGCAAACATTAAATCCCACAGTTCCACTTCCAGTGTCCCTGGAAATATATGACAAGTTGTGAACTCTAAAGAGTTTGGGTAGTGCCATCCCTATGGCACTGCTGGCAGTTGTAGCTCCCATGGCTTCTCTCTGGAGCTGGCTCATTCTCTTCTTGCAGTTTCATTCAGATGATCCACATTCTTGGTTTCTCTAAACTTTTGGGGTCTCCACTGCACTTTTGGCTTCCCACTCACAGCTTCACATACCGCCCTCTCAGGGCACACTGCCTGGCCTCCCAGGCCTTTTTCTGAAATCTGGGTGGAAGCCTTCTTGCATTTTGCATGTACCTAAAACCAGCATCACGTAGATGACGCCAAGATCTGCCTACAGCTGGAATAGTAGCCAGATTATTTTTTTAATTGCCTGTGAACCAAATTTTGAGAAATAATTTTTTTAGGCTACCATTTCCATTCTGGATCATGGTATTCTGGGGCTCTCTTTTTAATGTCTATTACCTTTGCAACTCTGCATTTTTTTGCATTTTATTTTTATTTTTTATTTTTTTTGCATTTTTACCTTTGCAACTCTGAGGCTGTAAAGGCTGGAGTTTTTTTGGTCCTTATGATATTCTCAGGCTATTTTTTAGCAATTAAGATCTCTGCTGTATTTTTGCAGTACACAGCTTTATTGGAGCTTTTTTCTGATCAAACTCACAAGGTTTTAAATCATTTTGCTGGGGTCTTTGTTCTTGATTCTTAAGATAAATCTGGCTAAAAGCCCCCAGTAGTAGCCATGCCACCTCCTCAACATAAGACTGCCTTGAAATTTCTTTTGCAAGATTAGTCTGTCACCCTTAATTTCAGTCTCAGGCAAAGTCTCTGGTCAAGAGCAAAATGCAGACAAACTTTTGCCAAGGCATAACACACATCTTCTGGAGCCTGTCAATGCAGTCCTTGTCCTCAGCAAAAATCTCCTGAGCCTGGTCTTTTCTGGCAGAATTTTCATCACCATTTTGGCCTTCTGAGCTCTGACCAGAATCTCCCATCAAGCAACTTCAGATGTTCCAGTTCTAGTTCTTTGCCTGGCATTTCTAACCCTTTCCTAACTCTTTCCCTTCCCACATGCTAGCTCCAAAGGCTCCTAAATGAAATGGTGAGGTAGAATCACAGCTATGACCCCACTCTTGGTATCAAATTCTGTCTTACTTTTCTCATTGTTGAGACAAAATACCTGACACCCAAAGTTAAAGAAAGAACGATTTATTTAGCTCACAGTCTGTAGAGTTTTCAGTCCATAATTGGCTGACTCCGAAACAGGTTTGTATCTCAGAAGATAAACAGTTCACGGAGAGCAGAAGGTAGCAAAGCAACAAGGGACATCCAGTTCTTTCTGTTTCATATTTTATCTTGACTACTTAGGGTGGGTAGCAGTCACACCCTTAATCCTAGTGTCCCTGAGCCTAGCATTGCACCATGAATCAGTCTCAGTATCACATTCTCTAGATCTAGCTACCTCTGAAAAAGCTCCACCTATGACTGAATGAGGCTTTGGGGGGACATCTAGACACCATGACACCATCTCAAATGAAGAATAGTTGAGCGAAAGGAAGGTCTGCAAGGTCTAGATAAGAAGAACATGGGTGCCATCTTCAAATGGTTGAATTGGGGGGAGCACTGGGACAGTATTAAGGGTCCCCTCTAGACTTCAGCTGCTAGTAAAATGAGGTGACTGGATAGATAACGTGTTTTCCATGAAGACTTCTCCAACATCAGCTGGGAGTCTCACAATTCTAGCCAGTTCCAACGCTAATACCTGAAGTTAGAACAGGTCAAGGGGCACAGGCTGGGGATTCTGCTCCCACCTTAGCACAACATGTGCATCTGATTTGGACACAAAATCAAGGGTACTCATGACCTCACTTCAGGTTTGGTAACAGTAGAACACAACACAAGATTCAGGAAAGTGCTGTGCTTGTGATTACAGTTCCCTGACAAAGGTTACAGCTTGGAAACAGCCAAACAGCAGAGACACAGACAGCAAAGTATGGAAGATGAAGGGCACAGAGTTTCTGCTGCCCAGAAGCTGCCTGAACCATGTTGCTCTAGAGTTCATACGGGTGTCATTGTTTAGGCACCAGTGATTACATCATTCTTTGATCTTTGACTAAATTGAGTCCCCAGTGCCTCAACCCTCCCCACTGGCTGGGGGAAAAGGATTAATGTTCTAACCTTCTAATCAGGAAGTTTTTTCCCCCTATGACCAGTCCCCACCCTAAAACTATATAGTCTCCTAATCTTGTGACTGTAGTCCCCCACCTCCTTAGCATAAACTCTGGTAAAGGAGAAAAAGGCTCATTATGAATAACAAAAGACACTCCTATCACTCAGGAAATTCCAAGGGTTTTCGGGGCTCTGTGATAGGAACCTGGGACAAAGACCAAATCTACTTTTATTATACCACAGATATACTTTAACATCCCTTATGACTCTAACATGCTATATTTAGTGGTTCTAAAACCAATTACAAGTGTAATTTCTTACTCAGTGTAAGAAAATAGCTTCTTAACCAGAGCTCTTCAGTGTTTTAAGAGGGCGCCACCAAAGAGCTGAGCTAACTGGACTAGGAAGCTATCTAGCTGAGGTTGGATGAGCCCAGTCAGGGACGTTGAGGAGGAAATCACCACACTGGGTGGCAGTTTGGCCCAGAAACCCCGACATAATTGTGGAGATGTGATGTAATGTCACTGCCTTCCTTGATTTCAGAGTCGAGAGATGCTCCCATTTTGGATGAACAGTACTGGCAAGAGAGAAGGCTGGCAGCGTGGATGGCATGGATACGACAACGAGCTCATGGATATGAGGGGCATCTTCCTGGCCTTTGGACCCGGTAGGGAAATAAATAACTACATGCCCGTAGTTATTCCCGAGGAAATATCTCTAATCGGGACTAATCACCCTAGTAAAGCCCAGAGTGATTTCTTTATGGATCCTCTTTATGAGCCAACCTGAGAAAACCCAGCTGCTTTCCATGAAACATCTTTCGCTGGCTTCCTTTCAAATGCTTCTTGGGTTTGGCAATTGTGGCCAAATACTTTTCCTTGTAAATTTTAAATCCTGAGTGCAGTGAAGAAAATGTATTCCACATGTTTGTGGTTCATTTTTTACTTAATTCATCAAAACGTTATTTCACAGCTATCTGATATCCAGGAAAGCTTATCAGACACCATGTTGCTGACAGCTGTGAGTCTCAAAATTGACACGACGGCTTCGAGGGATCCAATTCTTGCACAGTTTCTCCCTGTCTAGAGCACCCACCCCTGTGGGGTTCATTTGGTTTAGAGCCCAACCAGAAGCTAGGATGTGCTTGAGGGCAGGCTCTGAAATAACCTTGAGATTGACTTTGAGAATGAGCCAGAATGGCTAGGGATATCTTGGACAAAAGCAAATTTGCTGTGCCTTACTTGATCAGATTATATTCCGAACGCCTGGGAGGAAGGGGAGATAAAGAGAATCTATTTGACCATTTGGTTTAATTGATAGGATACTAAAAATTCATACTAGAGTTTGTTGAATGCTCTACAGATACTGAATACCCCCTTCTTTGCAAAAAAAAGGGGGGGAGAAGAATCCAATAGTCATAAACCACCAGTTGACTAACTCATGAGCTACTCTTCATTCTTACTACTGCCCTCCCTCTTTTATTAAATATGATTATCGTGATATCTGTATTACAGATGCCTTTTTCTGGATGTTGATCAAAATGTTCCAAGAAAGTCCATAATTTCCTTTTAAATTATGTTAGGCATCCATCCATAGACTCTGCTCTTCTCTTCAATGGAATAAGAACAAAGTCAAGTCAACTCACTCTCATTTGGTCTGCCTTGGTTTACTTTATTTACCACAAAATAGCTATTAAGAACCACAACGTGTCAGTTTCTGCAACCTCCATAGATATTTCAGGGAGTCCAAAACACACTGGTCCAAATCCTTTCCCACATGTGGTCCTAGTTCTCAAGTCCTGAGTGAGAATCAGAAGTAATAGCAGCAAATATTTATGGAGCACTAACTGGGTTCCTGGCATTGGCCTAAGAGGATATCTGAGCTTGCTGTCATTGACCAAGGAAAACTGTCCTATGCTTCATGTCAGCCAGGCCCCAAGTCAGCATGAAGCTCTCCAAAACTGGAGAAATTAAGCATGATGTCTCGAAGACTATGTTGAAGTCAACGAGAGATCAGGTAGAAGACATTCCAGAGTCATGGAATGGGAGAATGTTACTAAGCAGAACTTTCAGTCAAAAGCATCACCTCTTGTTTCCCCAGGAAAGTAAGATCATAAATGCAAAGTAGTTGCTTATTGAAGGGATCTATATATACATATATATATATATGAGCAGAAGTCTCAGGCATATTTTATAGCAGATCCAAATCAAGCCCCAAACTGAAACTTTTGAGCAAAGAACCCAAACTGTTTTAACTTAGAGTTAAATTCAGTGGGGAGATTTTGTCCATTAACAGAGGGCTCCATCATACGCTTCTTTAACACTAAAAGCCCTCAGTCCTTTACAGACAGAAAGGCGACCCCTGATGAAAATAGACTGCGCTAATTGCAAAATGCTTCCAGGCAGATATAGCCTTGAGAGCCTTCCGCAAACTATCACGTTCCTGCCTCCAATTCTCATGAAAGATTAAACAGCTTTACACACTGACTGTTTACTCAGAAGAAAATTTAAGAGCAAGGCCTTTAATAGCTGTCTCGCTGCACTTGGAGATAAAGGTGCACCCTCCTGATTAATTGTCTGTGGTTCTTGCTTAGGGAGGAAGCTGGGCATCGTGCAGCTGCCCGGATACCAGCCCTGGAAGTCAGTTAAGTCTGGTCAGGCAAGGAGAAAGGGAAATAATTCTGAAGATAGCTTCTCTCTGGTTAATCCCAGTTTCTAATTTGAACAATCTAATCTTGTCCTGGAGAACTCTGCATTCAAGATAAGACAGCAGGAGTGTGATTCAGTGAGCTGCTGCAAGCTAGCACGCCTCGCTCAGACAGCAGCCCAAGGTGGCCAGGTGCAGCGGGAACTTGCAGAACCTTCTCTGCTTAGGAGACACATGTTTAACAACCTAAAAAATTTAGACCCATGAGAATAACCCATAGGATTCCGAATCTAGGTTCAAAATACTACCTAGAACTACAGAGCTGAATGGGAGCCTCCCCAAATGGGCCAGGCATTGTCAATTCAGGAATTTTCTAGAAGCTTTTATTCCAACCTGGATCATCTGTTTACTGGGCCAAAGTTCCATCCTGAGAGAATAAGAAGTCATAAATTTGATTGAAGGGGAAAAATGATTCTCTTTCCTGCTTATGTGCATAAGATTTGATTTTGTTCTTTCAAGACAGAAAAAAAGAGAATCTCTCCTAATGCTTTTGTCAAAAGAGCCTGATCTCAATTTTTCCTATAGAGAGTTAGATACGGTGTTTTCTTTTGTTTCACTTTATTTTCTTTGAAAGGTTGGACAAGGACATCTCACACACCCTCACCTACACACATGGCAAGGACATGGTCACATCTGTTGGGGTGTGTGACTATCACATCCAGGTCACATGATAATTCAAGAGAGAGAAGAGCCGCTTCCATATCACTGGGACAAACTTCCATCGATTTCTCGTGTGCAGCAGATTCTTCTGATGGGGAAGTGTAGCCACCATCCTCATCTAATTGCATAACTTGCTTTGATGTGGAAGAGGGGCTGACACCGAAGCAGCCCCTGCATTTCTCCCCTCCAGGCAGGTTTGAGGGTTTTTAAACTAGTTTTTGCTTTGAAGTGATGCTGACCCTTATCTTTCCTGCTCCGAAAGAAAAATGAACTTACTACATAATTTATGAGGTGAATATTTTCAATCTAAAGTTTGCCCTACCTGGTATTTATTATACATATTTATAATAATAATGATTACCATTTACTGAGCATAACAAGTGTGTCTGAAACTGTGACTTAGGTACATTTCCACTGCCCATATCCCGTAGAACCAATGTGCCTCTTTACAACTGAATTCAACTTTTTATTCTCCAAAATGAGCAAAATCCATCACTTGGGAAGTTATCCTAGATCTAAAATGCTATGTAACAGAGGTTTCTGTATATAACATCTTTTCTATATTTTAATTCCAGAAGCAGAATTTGATGTTGTTACTTTTGGAATAGGTTGTTATTGTTTGATTAGTTTTTAAATAAAGTATGTGTGATCATTTTTGGAAAGCAATTATATATTTTCTGAGATAGAAAATTGGCTTTGCAGCTACAAACTATCCATTTCCTTTAAAAGTCTTAGATGAACTGGAGACACAGATCTTTATTAATAGATTAAAAATCTATCTTGGAAGTCAAGGTTAGTATTGCCTTTGGGTATTTGGTTGGCCATTTTTATTTGGGACCTAAAAGCAAAGTTACTTATGCATATTTCTATCTTGTTATATTCACTCCTTAAATGGACAAATGCTTTGTATATGGCATCTTATCTCCTTCTATAGAGGAAGAGATTCACTTGATTAAAACCCCTCCAATGGCTTCCAGAGTCACCTTAAGTGCCACCTGGTGATTATGCTGTGAATGGCCAGGCGTACCCTTTATACTCCTTGTACCTGTTATATTAGTGCTTCAGTTTGAGGCAGGCTTGGGTTAGAGGCACAATGTTCTTCTTCTTTAGATCCAATGGCGCCTTCCCTTGGGTCCCTTACTCCAATATCATTTTGTTCATTTTCCTCCTGGTTGTCATTTTATGTGTCCCTGAAAGGCTCCTAAGAAGTGCTCAGCTGAGCTTCCAAACATATTTAGAAAACCATTGCCAGTGCTAGTGAGTGATCAGCACCAAGGCCATTAAACAGCTTCACATTTCATCAAGATCTGTGCCCTTATTGTGGAAGGAAAATGGAGAAACATTCTGGCATTGCCGTAGGTCCTCTGCAGCAGAAATCAGCATGCAGCTATCAGTCCTGGCTAGACAGGTGTTCCAGATGGTGAGCACGCCACTTCAGTAGAGTCCACCAAGATAGACAGTCTTCTCTGGCCATGCTGGCTCTTCAGTGCTCTGCAGAAATGGAACAGCTTCAGCTTGTCTTTCTGTCCCAGCAGAAATGCTATATTGTCACAAAGGAGTCCAGTTAGACAAAAAGAAAGTTTGTCTGCCAGCTTGGCTTGTAAACAAACTTGTCTCCAGATGAGTCATGCCCCTGGAGAGAGCTGATTGACACAACTGATTTTTTAATCCCAAAGTTGCCGGGAACTGTGTGATTCTTCCATATTGTGATTCAACCCCTGTTCCTGGTGATCAGCTGTGACAGTTTGTTTTGTTTGCCCTTCCCTTTCAGATTTCAAGTCCAACTTCAGAGCTGCTCCAATTAGATCCGTGGATGTCTACAACATCATGTGCAACGTGGCAGGCATCACCCCACTGCCCAACAATGGGTCCTGGTCCCGGGTTGTATGCATGCTGAGGAGCCAGGCCAGCTTGGCTGCTTCTGTCCAGAGGCACAGCTATGTGCTGGCCTTCATTCTCCTCTTCCTGTTTGCATAACTGTTCATTTATATTGCTTGTCCCAAAACGTTGTCAGCAAAGTGTGCCTCCAAAGTGAAACGATTTTCATTTTCTATGTGAGTAATAGCTTCATTAACAAAATCAAGGCCATATAATCTGTACATATATTTTCCTTGGGTGATTCTATACCTAAAACTCTCTAATTGTTTTTAAAAAAACACCCAAACTTTATTTTTCCTAAAAAAAAGAAAATCTTAGCTTTTCATTTGTTCAGCTATCTGTAATGCTCTCCTTTCTTTCATGTAGTTGTGTGTAGTCTGAGCAGTGGCCTGCCCCACAGGAACCAAACTTCAAGGGGATATTCTATGGTCTTCCCTCCTGTCTGACCTTACCCAAAGGAGCCCCTCAGACCAGGCCCTTGTCTGCCCTGTCCACACTCAAGAGCCGTCTGTAGTGGTTTATGACCACAGTCTTCTACTGTTCCTTCCATTTTGGAAGACAGGTCTACAGAAAAGCAATAGCTGCTGTCTCTTTCTAACCCTGCTCATGGAGTTTTTGCATCTTAGGCAAAGTCCCAAAAAGGACATAACCTAAGTAGGGATCACCAATCAACCAAGTAAAAATCACTGAGGCTAGACGAACTCATAACACAAAATAAAACAGATTGGTCCCCCTGAAGTCTGAGTACACAATTTCCCCTTTGCCTTGAAAGCAGGAAAGCTAAGAATGGATATAGGTTTCTGTGAGACTTATTATACACAGCATATCATGGTATGAAGCCTACAAATAACGGACCTTGAACATTATGGAGTGACAGTCTGAGCGCCTACCCGGCTGCCTATATGGCAGCTCCTTTAGATACTGCCCCTCTGGCTCTAGACTTGGGAAGTAGACCACAGTAATACCTGGCATTTCAGTACAGTCCGGGGAAGGGATGGATATCTTACCAATGAGGATATGGACATGGTACAGAAATACTAGTTCATTGGTTGGACAGATAATATATTAAGCATAAGTTCTATGGATCAGTAGTCCTGAATCAGAGCTTAGCTGACAGCTCTGAAGGGAATACTTGAGCGACGTAGAATTCCATAGAAAATAGAGGGAGAGGGGGAGGAGGGGAATGGACGAACCATGACAGAACTGAATCCCACTCACTGACCAATTCACCATTGGATAAGGAAACAAACGTCGAAGTGGTGGTCAGGGCGCCTCCTTACACCTCCAGGAAGAGTCTCTGAGCCGGAGCTGATATAGTTTTAGTTTACTCACCTAAGTTGCTATAGGAGGTTTTGTAAAACAAGATTTTCAAATGATTAGAGTCTTACCTATGTACACACAGTCCCTGACAGATGATGGTTTAACTTTAGGGTTGATTTCATGATGGTGCAAAAGCAATGCCTATTCAGTAGAAATCATCCTTTCCATTTTGAATTTGTAACCAGCTAGATGTGTGCAGTTTGCCACTGTCTCTGTGTCCTGGAAAGCCACACAATCACATAGGGACAACTAATACAGTGTCCTGCGTAGCTATTTGATATGGTTTAATAGGCTTGGTGTATTAAATGCATTTTCCACGTAATGATATTTTCAACTTACAATGCGGTTTATTGAGACTACATAACCCCATCATAAGTCATGGAGCATTTGTCTATAAATCCTATTATTGTATTCAAAATGCACCTACACTAGATGAAGCCGATCTGCAAATGAGACTTTGTCAGGATAAGACAACACATGAGATCCTGCAGGATTAGGAAGCCTTTACGTGGTGTTCACCTTGAAAAGTGAATATCCACATTCACCTTAACTCAGAAAGGCTGGGGGCCATCTCCGTGGCATGAATCATGAGACCAAAGGATCATACCTGAAAAATATTGAATTTATCTTCACAAAAGATTTCTAAGGATTTATGTAATATGTTTTTAAAGCTCCAGTAAACATCGAATCAATTGGAAAGGAGGCAAATCAGCCTTTGTTGTGTGGCTGAAAGCAAATTAGTACTTTCAGAACCTTGGCACTGGTTTTTGAAACAGACGTCTATTGTTCAAAGTTTTCTTTCCCCTTGAAGGACATGTTTTGTTGAATTAAGTGGAGCCTACTTCCTCCTTTATGAAGGAAGGAGCTCTAAGACATTCCTAAACAATTAAATTAAAAGTGAATCATCAAAATCAAGGGGGGGATAAACACATACGTGATTAAGTTACATAACAAAATTCCAGATATTTTTTTGACAAAGTACAATTTCTTAGTAACTACTGTTAAATAAGTAAATGAGAATAAGATTCCAACAGAATCATGAATACCGGCAAAAAAAATTCAGACTCTGAATGGAAAAAAATCTTTTGTCTAAAATAATGCACATATCTCAATGGCTTAATTGATTAAAATTTCTTGCCTTTTATTTTTGTTTTGAATTTGCATTATTTCCCCAAGAAAATTCCATTTTGCCTAAATTTGTTTTGTTCCACAGCAGTAAAATCTACCAAGAATATATACAGGTACCTTTCTCCTGGATTATTTTATAACATCACTGCTACTTCCAAGAGGAAGATAATTGGGTGGCCTTACCAATAAGAAATGAAAAGAATGATCCTTAAATTAAAGATGAATTGAAGGTCTACTTTCCCTCCCCAAGAGCCTAATTTCCAGAATCCAATTCCAATAAATTCTGTAAACTAGAACATTTAAGAATTTCTTTCTAACCCAGAAGAGTCCTGCATTTTAGAAACTCAACTCTCTTTACTTTTAAAGAGACCTTAGAAATCCGTATTAGGTCTTAGTTCTATTATAGACAATACTTTGCAAACCTTCTGGGCTTTTAAGCACTGTCTGACTCATCTTCAGAGATGCCAATTCACAGGAGCTGTGGTTGGGCCTCAGACAACCCCCTTTATGTCACATTGATCTAAGCTTCAGGTTTGCTTTAGGGAGAAGTATGCTCTGACTTGGTTTGGGAAACCTAAATCCCCTGGGAGCTATTTCTTAATCAGTCAGTATCTCCAGGGGCCGGTAGGCTGACCTTGGCTATTAACCCCATTGGGTTAGGCTTTCAGCCTCCAAAACCAAAGCAGATCTGTAGGCCCTGCTGGTGGAGGGAGCGACAAGAAAAGATCAAGGCAGCCTACCCGCACCCCACACCTGTGGCTCTAAGATTCTCAAAGGTGCTATCAGACATTTGTTCAAGACACACAGCTACTTTTGAAATTTCTAAGGAAGTGTTTGAATTTGTATAAATATCAAGAGATTTTTAAATGTGATTGTGTGTTTTATCTTTTTAAGCCTTTTGTAATAGACCAAAGTCAGGTACTGTAAACCACTTGCTAGAAGAAAAGGAGAAGGTAGCTTTGACAGATTAGTTATAAAACTTTTGAAACTTGGTCTCAGGTTTGTACTATGGAAATATATCTTGCTTGGAAATCATAAAATAGCACCTAATACAGTGCCTTCAATGCTTAATAAATGTCCCATAAATGTGTGTTGAAAGAAATAAAGAAGAAATGTCATTAGAGAGACTTGCTTAAATTTCAGTTATTCTCTTTGTCTGTAGTCCCTCTGATTAAATGAATTTTCCTCTTTGGGCTTGTTATCTTTTCTTATTATGTAACTGACAATATAATTATACCTTCATTCATGTACTAAACATGTTCTATTCCAGCCTCATGAATTAGACTGAAGGAGAGAGGGGAAGGAGGAAGGAAGGAAGAAGGAAAAGAAGGAAGGAAGATTTTATTTCAAATATATTAAGTATATTATTTTTAATGTGATTATTTTATTGAGGTTAAATTCACATATTGTATAATTCATTCAACATGTGCAATTCAGTACTTTCTCTGTATATGCATAGAGTCATGCAACCACCACACAACCACGATGAGAATCTTTCTGTCCCCAACTCCATCCCCAGTAGTACATTAGCCACTCTACAGCCTCTTCCTAGGTGACAGCCAAGCTACTCTCTCTATCAACAGATTTGCCACTCTTTATACTTTAAAAATGAAATTATGTCATTTGTTGATGCCTTTTTTCATTTGCATAAGACTTCTGAAAATATAGCATGAATCAGCATGTAACTCCTTTTTAAAAAACTAAATACTATCTCATATACACATTTTATTTATCCATGCAGCCATTGATGAAAATTTTTGTTTTTTGTGTTTTTTAGATACTGTAAATAATGTTGCTCTGAAGAACTGTGTACATGTGCTCTCATGTCTCCTGGGAATACACCGAGTCATAGAACTTCGGTCTCATAGGCTGACTTTATGTTAAATTTTTGAGGAACTACTGTTTTCCAAATTGGTTTTTCCATTTCACATTACCACCGACAGTGTATGAGGGCTCCAATTTCTCTGCATCCTTGTCAGTCCTTGTTACTGTCTGCCTTCCTATATTACAGCCATCATAATGAGTTTGTGAGGTGGCATTTCCCTGTGCTTTTATCTGTGTTACCCTACTGACAAATCACAGTAAGCATTTTTATGTGTCTATTGACCATATGTAAATCTTTGATAGAGAAATAGCTACTCAAATCTGTAGCCTGTCTTTGAAATTTTTTCATCTATATTTTTTATTGATACATATTTCTTTGCCTAGTTTTTGAAGTATTTGTCTTTTTCTTATTGAACTGTAAGCATATATACACATTCTGTATACAAGTTCCTTATCACATAAATAATTTAAACTATTTTCCCCATTCTGTGGGTTTTCTTTTTACTTTCTTGATTTGATTCTGTGCTCCCTGTCCTCTCTTTCTCTCTCCTTGATTCTTTCTCTTTTGTCTCCTTTTTTGAAATGTTAGGTTTTCACAAAACTATTTTTCAGAACTCTTGGAAAAATAAGATACTTCCATGATGACAAACATCTAAGGAAATTTATGACCACCAAACTAGCATTCTGAAATGTTTTGAAGGACATTCTAGAAAGAGATAACAAGGACTATAACTCCATGAACCCTAACAGAAGGAATCCACCAGGCAAGGCAACACTTAGAGGGAGAGAAAAAAGAAGAGGAGCGAACAACAGGAAAATAACATGATGAGGATAAGCCAATACATATTAGTTATAACCACCAATGTTAATGGTCTCAATTCACAAATCAAAAGACACAGACTGGCAGAATGGATAAAGAAGCAAGATCCAACAATATGCTGCATGCAAAAAACATATTTAATTCAAAAGGAAATTCATAGACTAAAAGTCAAAGGATGGAAAACAATACTCCATGTGGCAGGAACCCAGAAAACAGCAGGGGTAGCTCTTCTATTTGCACACAAAGTGAATTTCAAGCCAACACTGATTCAGAGAGACAAAGAAGGTCACTATATCCTTATACAGGGAACAATCCAAGAGGAAGAGATAACCATCATAAATATATATGGAACAAATACCAGTATATCCAACTATATAAAACAAATATTAACAGATATGAAATATCAAGTAATCACTAATACAGTTGTATTGGGGATCTCAATACACTACTGTCACAAAAAGGTTAACTAGACAAAAAATCAACAATTAAATATTAGAACTGAACCAAATTTTTGAATAAATGGACTTAGATGTCTACAGAGTGTTCCATCTTACAACATCAGAATACACCTTCTTCTTAGCTAGACATTCTACAAAATAGACCACAGGACATGCTTAAGTAAGTACAAAGGAACTGAAATTACCCCATGCATATTATCAGACCTTACTGCAATGAAATTAGAAATCAATGGCAAATAAAACTATGAGAACTTCATAACACATGGAAATTAAATAACACCCTCCTGAACAACCAATGGGTCAGAGATGAAATTAAAGAAGAAATTATACAGTTCCTACAATTAAATGATAATGACAATACAACATACCAGAACTTATGGGACACAATGAAAGCAGTCATAAGAGGGAAATTTACACTAGTAAATACCAATATCAGGAAAACAGAGCAAGCACAAATAAGCAACTTAATGGTGAACTTCAAACTTCTAGAAAAAGAAGAGCAGGTTAAGCCAAACTAATACAAGAGAGAAAATTATAAAGATCAGAGCAGAGATTAATGCATTGGAGACTAAAAAAAAAAAATACAAAAAAATCAATGAACTGAAGAGTTGGTTCCTTGATAGATTAAAGAAAATTGGCAGGCCCTTAGCCAACCTTATTTAAAAAAAGGAAAGAAAAGACTCAAATCCATGCAATTAGGAATGAAAATGATGAAATCACAGTGATCCTACAGGTGTCCAGAAGATTGTCCATACCTATTTTAAAAACTTGTATTTTAATAAGATGTAAAATGGCAAAGAAATGGACAGATTCCTAGATACATGTCAATTACTGAAGCTGAATTAAGAAAATATAAAAGTCTTAAATAAACCAATATCAATCAGTGAACTTGAAGACGTAATTAAAAACCTACCAACAAAAAAAGCCCAGTCCCTGATGGATTCACTTACAAATTCTATAAGAAATTTAGAGAAGACCTAATACCACTACTTCTCAGACACTTGAATGAAATTTAAAGGAAAGCAATACTCCCAAATTCATTCCTGGAAGCAAGCATTACCCTGGTACTAAAACCAGACAAGAACCCAACTACAAAAGAGAATTACAGGCCAATCTCCCTAATGAACATAGATGCAAAAATCCTCAATAAGATACTGGCAAACAGAATGCAGCAAGTCATTGAGAAGATTATACACCATGACCAAGTGGGAGTCATCCCTGGGATACAGGGATGGATCAACATATGCAAATCAGTAAATGTAAATACATCACATTAACAGAGCCAAGGACACAAATCATGTATCATCTCAATACAAGCAGAAAAAGCTTTCAACAAAGTCAAGGACCCATTCATGATTTTAAAAAGCCCTACAAAAATTGGAATATATGGTCTTTATGCCAATCTGATAAAAGACATCTATGACAAATCAACAGCCAATATCATACTAAGTGGACAAAAACTGAAAGCTTTCAATCTAAAATCAGGAAGAAGACAAAGATGTTCATTGTCTCCACTCTTATTCATCATAGTCCTGGAAAATTTAGACTGAGCAATTAGACAAGAGAAAGAAATAAAAAGAATAAGATAGGAAAGGAAGAAGTCACATTATCATTATTTGCAGATGACATGATACTCTACATAGAAAAACCCAAAAATTCCACTGATTTAATAAGTAAATTCAGTAGTGTAGCTGGATACAATATCAACACACAAAAACCAATAGCTTTCCTGTATACAAATAACAAACTCACTGAGAGAGAAATTAGGGAAGCAACACCTTTCATGAAAGCATCCAAAAAATGAAATACCTAGGAATCAACCTAAGGAAGGATGTCTTCACTAAAAATGTCTACACTGAAAGCTACAGTACTCTGAAAAAGGAGATTGAAGAGGACATCAGAAAATGGAAAGACATCCCTTGTTCTGGGTAAGAAGAACCAATATAGTGAAAATACACATACTTCCAAAACTCTTAGATGGATTTAATGCAATTCTGACCAAAATTCCAACAGCATATCTCACAGAATTAGAGAAAACAGTCCTGAAATTCATTTGGATCTTGAAGAGACCTAGAATAGCAAAGGCAGTTCTGGGCAACAAAGGCAAGGCAGGGGGCATCACAATCACTGACTTGAAATTATATTATAAAGCTGCCATGACAAAAACACCATAAAACAGACCCAAAGATCAATGGAACAGATTAGAAGATGCAGAAACAATTCCAGACATACACAGCCACCTTATCTTTGACAAAGGTGCCAAACACATTCACTGGAAGAAAGATAGGTCTTTAATAAATGGTGCTCAAAAAACTGGCTTTGCAAATGCCGAAAAACTGGACTCATATCTTTCACCATGCACTAAACTAGATTTGAAACGGATCAAAGATCTGAATATTAAAGCAGAAACATTAAATCTGCTGGAAGATAGATTAAGTAAAACTCTTGAAGACATTGGTGTAGGCACAGACTTTATGAATAGAACCTGGATAGTACAGGAACTGTCACAAATAATCAACAACTGGGATCTCATCTCATTAAAAAACTTTTTCACAGCAAGAGAAACCACAAAGAAAGGAAAGAGACAACCCATGGTATGAGAAAAAAATATTTGCCAGATGTTCCTTAGACAAAGGAATACTATCAATAACATATAAAGAACTCAAAAAATCAGACCTGCCAAATTTAAAAACCCAATCCAAAAATGGGCCTCTGTGATGAGTACATACTCCTCAGGTGAAGAAATACAAATAACAAATAAATATATGAAAAAATGTTCAGCATCACTGGTCATTTGAGAGATGTAAATTAAAACAACACTGAGATTCCATCTCATCCTAAAAAGAATGGCTATCACAAAAAATCAACCAATAACAAATGCTGGAGGGACTGTAGGGGAAAAGGAGCCCTTCTCCACCTCTGGTCCGAGTGTAGACTGGTGCAACCACTGTGAAAATCAGTGTGGAGATTCCTCACAACACTAGGATTGAAGGTCCCATTCAATCCAGGTATTCCCCTCTT